TCGGCCTTCAGGCCCAGCACGCAATCGGTGACCATTTCGGTTGTGAAGCGCAGACCCACCTAAAGGAGCAATGATATGAGGCATATACTCATTTACTTAACAGAGTCTTACATCTTTAGCATTAATGCCTCCACTTGGAGGCGAACGTATTTGCTTGCGTAGCCATTCGGTCATCTTTCGGCATACCTCATTGGTCACTGGATAGACGGTCTTGATCTGCAGGAGGAAATGAGTGGAGGTCAACATACTTCTCTTGCTCACAGTAAAAGTTCCGTAAAATTCCTTGCTTTTCTCTAGTCGAAACTTACGCGACCCATGGTCAGACCGGGAGTAACATCTGCGCGTCGCTCTTTCCACTCTTCGCCGACGAGAGTAAACGGATTGTTGGCAAATATGTAATCGGACTTTTCAGTCACCATCAGAGAGACTTCATTGTCGTGAAAGTGCTTGAAGTCAGAGACGAAGACGCGTTTGGCCAACTGCGGACTTATCACCATCAACTGTGGACAGCGAGCTTTGTAAATGCCAACGGCATCGAACTGATGCTTGTATTCTCTGCAATATGGAATCAATTCCTATTTCATTTCACATATTCAATTTCAATTATATTTACCTATAGATATCATTGAGATCGTAGATAGTATGACGTTTCATGTTGAACATATGCGGATAGTTGCCTGTGAGAATGCTTGGGGCAGGACCCGGAACCTTTCGCTTGCGCCAGTATCCGTAATTCCATGTCATGAATGCATAGAAGAGGCCCAGAGCTATCAGCAGCAAGGTTAAAGTAACTTCCAGCATGATTTCCTTACCCAGATGCTCACTAACTATGCAATTGATATTGACTGCAGCTGAGTCATTTCCACACTGCGCGTTGCAGCACACGGCCACAGAGCTTTCAGACGATTGATTTTGAATACATATATATATGTATATATTATACAGACAATGTCAAAGCTTTTCAAGCTTTGTAGTGAGTTAGCTCTTGGGTAGACCACGGCAATGCAAACACATTTTAAATTTAAGCGAAAATCATCTTGTTTGGAATTGTTTCATTTATGAAATAAGAAAGTTCCTTTTTTTTTTTTGCTTGCCTCAATAAATGTTTATATAGATTTAAACTCAAATAATTTGTAAATCATAATGCCTTTACCCCGTAAGCATTTACAGGGAAATTTCTAGCCAGTCACTTTTGATTCTCTTGACAAAGAAAAGCTTACGAGTGACCCACAATCAAC